GCAACAGATGACGAGGTCGAGACAGGCACAGACGAGACGAGAAGGTTCGAGAAGGCGAGATTCAGAACCGTTCAACCAACCCCGTAAGCCGTGTAAACCATATCTGAGTTGCCATCAACAAACGAGTAAGATCTTGATCTTAAACTTTCGATCCACTGCTGCTAGAATTATTTTCTTCGTATTCGATTCGAGAACAATAACCGACGTTGTTCGTCGAACCCTGCACTAAGCAATTATCCCACATGCTTAACGATTAAATTCGACAATAAATCATTATTCACCTATTTGTCACATTATTTTATCAGTAGATTATATTAATGAATCAACAACTTGAGTTCAAATGAATAGGTATACCTAAAGTTTAGCTTAACCATTCAAAATTGTAGATGAATGCCTTGTTGCAACAATCATTTAGTACGAAGGTCTTTTACTTTACTGGAAGATCTAAAAAGGGATTCCAAAGGACCTACAAAATCTCTTTTTTTCTTCAGCAGTAACAAAGGACCAGCAGGAGCAAGGGGGAGGGCAGGAGCTCAAGGCCATAAGAGATTGATTGCGCTATGGGAAAACTTTAGGGTGGCAGATGGTGGAGATACAAGTGGATGATCCACACCTAAGGCACAGACTCAATCAGTAAGAAACAGTGTATCCAGGAGACTCCGAGGTGGAAGTAGATGTTATCACTTTGCTGTCATCTTTGTCTTGTTGGTCTTTTGTTGAAATATGTTCTTTTGTTTAGGGTGGCCTAGTTGCTATGTGTGGTACTTTGGTTTTTTCTAGTTGCTTGTTAGTTTTGTTCGGTCGATTTGTTTTTGTTGTTTGTGTTGTTTGTGTTGTTCTAGATAGTTTAGGCCTCATTGGTCGTTTAGGGGGATGTCTGTGGATATCCCTCAGGTTCACTCTCGATTGATTGGTCTGTCAAGTTGTGTAACTTATAACCAGTTGGTTATGCGTATGTACATTTCAAGTTTTAGTTGAATGCAAATTTGATTTTTGAGTAAAAATAAAAGGGTAACCCATAAATCTATATGATTGTTAAGCAAGTTATTAAAATAAAATTGAAATATAACAGTTGAAAGAAAATACTAAAACTCCAAAATTAAGTGTTTAATTAGATACTTAATTGACTTGATCATGATACAATGTTCTCTCTAAATTTTTCTAAAATTGAAATACAGAAAGTAGCAAATCATATGAACAACAAAATGAATTTATCATAATTAAATGAAAATAACAACAAAAAATAATTCATGAATTTGTACACCTCCCAAATATTTCAAAATGCGGCAGGTTATATTAGTTGTTTGTTCATAACCAGATGACACCACTATTTTAAATAGCTCGGTACATAGCTCGCTATAT